CTCTCTCTCTCTCTCTCTCTCTCTCTCTCTCTCTCTCTCTCTCTCCCTCTTTATGATCCAATAGTTATCCATCACTAATTTAACGTCATATTGGTTCCTGTTTATCCTTATTGTGTCCTCTAAAACACTGTGAAATTAAAACATTATATTTCTGGAGGCTTGTTGATTTCTGCTAACAAACTCAGACTAAATAAAATACAAAAAATGTCAAATTATTTCAACAAAAAGACGTATTTTAGTTGAATTTGAAAGAAATGAATTTAATAAATCATGTGATTATAAACTTGATGGCACCACTAACCAGAGTAATCTTTTTTTCAGTTCATCACACAGTCCCCTCCTCCTCCTCCTCCTCTTCCTCTTCCTCTTCCTCTTCCTCCTCCTCTTCAGGTGAATGGGTCAGACTCCTCCCCTTTCACAAAAGTCACCAATGGGACTATGGTGACTTTAACGAACACGCGCCTTACTGGACATATCAAGGTACGTGTAACTGGTTTTTATATCATTATATATTGTAATTAACGTGTTATATTGTGTGGTACAATGTGCACATTTTAGCTTCTTATGTATATATGCATTTTTTTTATTCTACTTTAATTTAACTTTTGTTGTGAATTTTACCTTACATTTTTATATAAATATTTTTTTCTCAAGTTCTTTATTGCACCTTTTTACTTGAACCTGTTATGTCGACATATATATATTTTTCAATTATATTTTATTTAAACATTTGACTTTAACTTCTAATGTTTGTATAAATACTTTTTTAATTTGATGTTTTTTTGCGTATTTTTACTTCAATTTCTTATGTTTATATACAAATATTTACTCTGTATTATTTTTAATATCTGAAATATGACTTTTTACTTGAACTTCTGATTTTATATAAATATTTATTTAATATTTTTATTATATATATTATTATTATTATTTATATTTATTATTATTTATACTTATTTTTAATATCTTAAATTCTAATTTTTTTAAATGTATTTCAATAAGCCCAATTTCCCCATAGTATAAATAAAGTATTCTGGTTCTGATTCATCACCCAAGAATATGATATACAGATTTGATGACTTCTAAATAACCCTAATCTCTATTTCTGAAGCAGCTGTAAGCGTCTTACTCTTCATCTCCTCACTTCCTCCTCCTGACCCCGTTTCTCACGCTTTCTGTCTCCAGTCTCAAAATAAGTCGAGTTCAGACCGTCCTCCTCAGAGACCCAAGAAACCAAAGGACAGCAAACCCAAGGTCAGCTGACTCTCTGTTTCTGTTAAAGCAAGCACACATTGTATAACGCTGATTTATGAGAGTACCTGATCTTTGAGGAACTACCAGAGAGCTGAAGGTCTTCCAGTTTCTCTCTCTGGGGTTTTGGTGTCAGTTTTCTCAGAACAAGAGAAACATTTTCACATTTAACATTCATACAATCCAGAAATGCCTCGTTAAAAGAGGAAGGGATACCATGTTTCGCATCCTAAATACAGCAGAATAAACAATGTCTTTCTCTGAATTGGAAACACTTGCCCTGTGACCCTAGTTTTGTTATTCCTGTTGACCTTTCCCGCCTACATGACCTGAAAGCACGCCCTTTTTTCTGTCCAGGAATCAGTAAGTGATGTCAAGCAAGAGGATATTTGAACCCTTGTGTTGTGCCTCCACTTTAATCATGTGGTTTTAATGGCAATAGAGAAAAACAACAACTTTAAAATGTTAATAGTATATGCCAGGGGTCGGCAACCTTTTTGATACGAGGAGGTGTGTGGCGCAGTGGGTTGTCCGTTGGTGTTGGGATCAGGGGAGCACAGGTTCAAACCCCACTGCAGTCAGCATGTCGTTGTGGACACTTCACCCCAAATTGCTCCTGTGGGGATTGCCCACAGTATTGAGTATGTTAGTCGCTTTGGATAAAAGCGTCTAACATGTCATGTCATGTCATGTACTATGAAGTGCCATTTAAAACGAAAATTGTGATCAGTGTGCCGACGATCGCGTTACGTGCATGGCTTCCTTCTGCAGGTAACGGGGAGACGCGCTCTAGCGGCGGTCTCGTTCAGGATCCGAAAATACAATTTATATATTTTGCACACTTATTCCTAGTGTGCCACTGGTTACGCTGCCGACCCCTGGTATATCCACTTTCACTGAGTTAAATCTCTTATCCAACATTAAAGCTGAGCAAATATCCTGACATCTCTTCACTTTTGTTACCCTTTAAATGTCATTTTGTAAAAAAAGAATGCCATTGTGTTTATTTTATAAGGAAGAAAACACATGCAAAAATGTGTTTCTATATTTTTAAGGCATGGTGGTATTTATTTTCACAGTCTGGCATATGTCCATGATTAGCAACAACATACAACATTAACTACACAAATATAAGACATAGAAAAATACCTCAATCTCGTGGAAAGTAGTACAAAATACACTGAAACCCTGATCTAATGTATTGTGATTTGAATGGGTTTCAATAGGAAATGTTTGTCTTTTTAAGGGTACATCATTTCAAATAGACACATAGAGAAAAACTCACAAAATGTATGCTTTACTGCAAAAAAGAAACAGCCAAAAATGTACAGAAAAGTAATAATAAAAACATCTATAAATTGGAATACTAATTAAAAAAAAATACAAAATGTATGCCATATGTATTACCACATCCAAAATGGTTGCACAATATTGAAAATACTACTCTAAACCGTTTTCTGTCTCGTGTGCAGGTGAAGAAGCTGAAGTACCACCAGTACATCCCTCCAGACCAGAAGGCAGACAAAGAGCGCCCCCCCCAGATGGACTCGTCCTATGCCAAGCTGCTCCACCAGCAGCAGCTCTTCCTGCAGCTGCAGATCCTCAACCAGCAGCAGCAGCACTACAACTACCACACCATCCTGCCCGCTCCGCCCAAGTGAGTGTTCGAGTGCACAATGTGCAAGTAAAGGGGGCCGAGTGCAGGGGTTTTATTCAAAGGCTGCGGTCAAAAGACACTTTTCCTTAACCTCTGGGAACAACGTAATTGGGTTAGGGAAAGATGTGAAGGAGAATGCATCAGGACACAGAGAAGTGTATTATGATGCGAAGGCCATTGTTATTGATTTGTGTCAAAACTAAAACTAACATTTTCTATATATATGGACTACTCAAAGCACCTAGATATGTTCATATGGTGTTGTTTGGCTTTATGCAAGGGGACAAAAGTGATAATATATTACCAAAAAAGTGGTAGCGAGTGCTCTCTCTCAGCCAAGTTATGCATATATTGCATAAAATATTATTGATTTAAAGGGTTTCATTCAATTATACTACTAATCGGGATTAATGCGGATTAATACGAGTCCTCCACTCGTATTAATCCGCATTAATCCCTATTAGTAGTATAACTTGCAAGGCCTACACACTGACTACTATGCATATCACCAATCAAACATGTTGAATTAAAGAAAAATAGGCTTCTTAAACATCACCCAACTCAGTAAACACACTTTTTTGGTCGAAGTTCAAAACATATAAGAATTTCGGCAAGAAATGGCATATCAAGAACAATTAACCTACTTGTGTCGGTCATGATCTGTTGTTTCCGTCATGATCTGTTGTTTCCGTGAACTGCCAACTTGTGCGTCACTTTAAATGTTGTAGCTGCAATGAATTGTGGGTCAGCATTATCCCCTTTATTTGGTAAAGCATACTCCAGTGTATCCTGTGTTTACGGAGATAACAAATAAAGCATTACAAGTCCTTTCCTATCATGTAGAGAATTCAAAAAGCTTGTATCATGGCGGCCACTTCTGCTACTTTCCCTCCATTAGGAACCTTCCTAAGCAAAACAAAAACCACTTGACCGCCACCCAGCAGTCCTTTCTCTTCCTCATATTAAACCCGTAGTTATTCTACTGATAGTGAATTTGTGCAGCACAGCCTGCAGGCGGTTTCTTTATGACTTCCTGTCTGCTCCTGACTCTCTGCTGTGGTTTGTTTCTTCCACATTAGTGGTTCTTCAGTCATTCTGTAGAGAAGTCCTCTTCGTCCCAGATAAGCCTCTGTGCTTTGGGGAAAACAAATGTGGGACTTTAGGAATATGCTTTTCAAATGAAACAATGGATGTGTTTGGGGAGAGAAATAAAGCTCTCTGTAACTTTGTTTTGATGTTTACTATATTTTATTTACTACCATGGCATCAACATCCCCTGCTGTCTTAACTCAGGAAAACTAATATTTATATTTTCCTGTTTCCTCCATCAGGCCTCCCACTGAGCAGCCTCCATCAACAAACTCTGGCCCCTCCCCCTCTCGCAGCGTTTCCACAACGACCACCAACACATCCAATCAGAGCGTGGCTTCCCGTCTGAGCCAATCAGCAGCGGGCGGAGCCAAACCAGGAAGTCTGCCCGCCAACCTGGATGAGTTCAAGGTATCTAAATATATGTTAAATTTGACTAATTTAAGCTACAAACCAGCTTGTTTTAAGATAAGATAGATCTAAAGGCCCTGACGCACCAAACTGACATCAAAGAACACGTCCCGACGGACCCGATTGATGTGTCGCCTCACGTCTCTGCGTCTTGGCCATGTGTCGCACTGGAACACACCGCAAAGACTTCAGCCGACGGCCAAGTAACACGTACGCACTGCGCATGCGTGAGTGGCAATAACTCTCCTTACCAGCAGGCGGCGGTAGTGTGTATTCGTCATTCAAAAGAGGCAACAACCGGAAGACAGACTGCGTGATATATACAAACAACAAATAGCGTGCGTTCCATTTTCACTCTCGTCCATCACAGACGGTTTCACATAACGACTTATCGAAAACATGTTTAGTGCGGTACTGGAAAATGAAAAATAATAGCCGTCTGTGTGTGCCTTCTTCACTTCCGTTTCGCTTCTCATGCACTGATTCGCTAAGCTGAACAGCCAATCAGAGTGATTTATTTGGCCGACAGCCTTTTGCCGACAGCATCCCGACAGCGGCCGACACCTTCCGCCCCCGATTCAACATGTTGAATCGGGGGACGGAAGGTGTCGGCACGGCCCAAAAGACACAACGGTCCGGGACACACCAATCTGAGTAGGGCGACAGGACGCTCATCGACGCCCAGACATCTATCCACGGCCGAAATCGGCTCGGTGTGTCTGGGTTTTTATAATCCTGAAGGAAATTCTTGTACGAGAGATAGCTCAAAAACTCAAAAAACATAAGAATACAAAACAATAGAGCATTAAAGATGAATTGTATTAGAAAAATTACTGACCCCAATCAACAAGCATGTATTAAAGGACCTCAAGAAGTGAGTTTTAACCATTTCTGGCTCACTAATATAATGAGAAATGATGTTTAAATGCTCAAATGTACAAGCTTATGGTCAAAGTTTGTGACCAGGTTAACAGAAAACCTTATCTTGAGAAGGATACCTTTTTATATCTAGACGGATGCTTCAACATTAGTTTTTAAATAATGTTAATTGACCTGAAAAGGTAAAAGTGTCCAATATTTCACAAGTTATTTGTAAAAAAAAGAACACAATTCAATAAATGTTGGGACGTTTTGCCATTGAACTAAATTACACACTTTTGTTTAGTTCTTGTCTCTTACATATCATATATTCTGTCTCTTTCGCTCTGAGTCAAAGCCCAGCACTAAGTAACTTCTGGTCTTGTTTCTCATCCTCCAGGTCGCCGAGTTGAAACTGGAACTGAAGCTTCGTAGTCTGACCGTTTCCGGCACGAAGAACGATCTGATCGAGCGTCTCCGAAACTACCAGGAGCAAAATGGAGGCAACGCAGCAGCTCTGAAGAACGCCGTCTCGCAGACAAACCAACAGACTGGGACCATCACAGCCTCTCCAAACACAACCAGCACCCCCGACCACCATCCAGGAGAGGGAGGGTTCAAGCTGGACCTGTCCTCCATCGGTCAGGTGATCCCGGGGCGGGTCATGAGGTTCGGCAGCACCAGCTCCAGCCCTCCGATGTCTCCCACTCCCTCTGAGAGGTCGCTGGCTGGGATGAGCCCCGACGAGACGAGCTGCAACGGAGACATGTTTGGAGAGATGGTGAGAGTTTATATGAAGCAAAAGGCTTTTCCCGTTTAGTTCCGATAGTTCCTGGGATTTTGCGTTCACACCAAGAAGAGAACTTGGTTCATGAGAACTTCCCCCCCCTTTTTAGTGCCTGCTAGAGTGGTGGTACTTTCCTGGGGAGAAAAAAGTTCCAATTTGCAAATCACGGCCCGTAAAACTACAGTTTTGTGAAGCCGCCATTGTATTTGCTGGCATTAGCATTATTAGCATTAGCATTAGCCCCGCGCACCAACGGAGAGAGAATAACTTATGGCAACACAAAAGAAAACATGGGAGAGGTGGAGATGAGGAGGTGTCGGCGTTCTGGCGATTTACTCGGAAGGCTTCAGTAGAAGCTGCTGGGACTCCCAGCAGCTTCTACTGAAGCCTTCCCCAACTCCGGGGACTTCCGGCCGGGGACTCCGGGTGGCAGTATACGCCGTGAAGTGGTTTGCGGCCTGCCAGTAAACCCAAAGCAGAAGAAGAAGAAGTGACGTCAGCGGCTTCATTTGCCTAATCTTCCCTCAGGGAACTTATTCCTGTGTGAACGCGATCGGCTCTTTAGTTCCATGGGGGTACTAAGTGCTGGGAACTAAGTGCTGGGAACTAAGTACGGCAAAGTGGTGTGAAAGCGGCTAAAGTCACCTGTGGAGGGAATTACTGTTAAAGTGAGAGACGACACACGGTGGTTCATTTTGATAGATTTTGGGCTATTTTGCTTCCATAACATGTCTTCTTTCAGATAATTGGAAAGAAAGCATTAAAAATACACATGTAGGTATTTATTTGACTAGCTTACTAGTCTTAATGCAAGTATCCGCAATCTCGTTCTTTCGGTCATGACCCATCCTTCATGACCATAGGTGAGGGTAGGAAGGAAAATGGCCCGGTAGACAGAGAGCTTTGCCTTCTGGCTCAGCTCCCTTTTCGTCACAACGGTGCGGTAAAGCGACTGCAGAACCGCTCCCGCTGCTCCGATTCTCCGGCCCATCTCACGCTCCATTGTTCCCTCACTCGAGAACAAGACCCCGAGATACTTGAACTCCTTCACTTGGGGTAAGGACTCATTCCCTACTTGGAGTGAACAGTCCATCGGTTTCCTGCTGAGAACCATGACCTCAGATTTTCAAACATATTTGTACTTATTATCAACTTAAGTGATATATATAAGTTCAACTATTATCACACGTAGAGACTCATATGTGTTTTTGTTGCAAATAATGAACACATTCCTTCTAACTTAAATCCTCTTCTTGTTGTATGTCCCTTCAGGTGAGCTCTCCTCTCACTCAGCTCACCCTCCACCCGTCTCCTCAGCACCCGTCAAACGTCTCCTCTCTCTCCACGGTCAAAGAGGAGTCTCAGAGCTCCTGCAGACTCTCCTCCACCTCCGCTTCTCCATCCGCAGCCATGGACACGTCCTCCGTAGTGAAGGACCAGATGCTGCAGGAGAAGGACAAACAGATCGAGGAGCTGACCCGCATGTTGAGGCAGAAACAGAGACTGGTGGAGACTCTTCGGTCTCAGCTGGAACTGGGAAAGATGACAGGTGGAGCAGAAAAGGGAGGAATCAGAACAGAGGTTAAGCTTCAAACTCTGATAAAAGCGTCCGCCATCCAACCCCCGACTCTCCCTAACGGCATGTTGGTGAAAGTGAAGAAGGAGCTGGAGCCCGAGGAGGGGATGGAGGGCGTGACGGAGGGAAAGAAAGCAGTGCAGCCGATGCAGTGCAGTCAGGAGACGCTGCTTCGACTGCAGCAGATCCACCGGCTGCAGATCCAACAAGCAGAGCACAACAAACTCACTCTGCAGCCCAAACAGAAAACCTCCGAGGCTACGACCAAGCAGAGGGAAGACGCTCAAATCCTGCTCCAACAGCAGCAGCACCTGCAGCAGCTCATCATCCAGCAGACGCAGCAGAAGCAGATCCTGGCGCAGCAGCAGAAGTTAGCGCAGCAGCAGAAGGTGGTGCAGCAGCAGCTGAAACCGGTTCCTCACAGCGTGGGGAAGAGCCAGCTGAAGCAGGTCCCGGTGCAGATCCAGAGACCTTCAGCGACCCTGAGTCAGCAGAGGAAGCAGCTGAGAGCCAATCAGAGGCAGCAGCAGAGGCAGCAGGCGGCCGCTGTCAGCACGCAGCAGGTGGAGGATCATTGTAGTAACAAACAGTGAAGGATTTCATTAACCCTAATTAGACCCTGTGTCACCTTGGATTCTTCAAGAGAACATTTAGTCTTTCTCACGTGCCTCCCTAAGGAACAAAGTAACCGTTAACCGAGGAACGTTTTTGATTAATTGAAGTAAAAGAAGGCAAAACTAAATCAAAACTTTAAATAGTCAAATTCTCCTTCATCCAGCTTTAAGCTTTTCTCCAGAACCAGTAAATACTCTGGCTTGTCCGGGCAAGTATTTTGCTGCACACGCAAGAGACTGCTTTACGACAAATAGAAAAAGATACATGGAAACGTTATTGTGAGAATGCACGTGTTAGGGAAGTAATGAGAATAGGACTGGACAAATGAGAGGCATTATTCTGCCGAAAGGGTTTGTTAGCAGACGTTTAAATATAGTTTTGATGCTGTTAAACGCAGTATCCATTTACAAAGATATTTTCCAAGGCTTCAATGTCGAGTGCATATTTAAAAATGTTAGTGAGCTCAACAGTCTTATGGCCAGTGAGATAAAACTGTCTCTGAAACTGGTAAATAAAACATATATTTATTAGGGCTGTATCCGAATATTCGTTCGTTGGAGTACTGTTCGGGTTTCAATTTCGTTATTCGGATATTCCTTCTTTTTTTTCTCGTTTTTAATTTTTTAATTTATTGAAATCTCCAATATCAACTTGTGTGAGCTTGTGCCTCTTCGGTTGGTGCTAACACTTAACCATAAACGTTATTGTTTACTTTCTCCGTCTTTATATGTAGATATTACTTTTTCTCCATTAATCTCCGTCACGTTGTTTCCATAGCAACAACAACTTCCTGTCAATCGCGCTACCTCTCCTTCAAAATAAAAGCATGTCCATACAAAATAGGAAGCCAAGCCAAATTACACTTAAGACATATACAACTGCAACGAAACTAACACACACAATGCGATATCCTTTTCAATTTCAAAGAACACAAATTGGGTTACATTAACAAATAACTATAAAACAACAATACTGTAGAATAACAAAAAGAATGCCGGTGAATGAACCGAAATACACGTGTCGAAGCGGTTCGCTGCTGATTACTACGCACCCCCCCCCCCCCCCCCCTGCACGGAACGAATATTCGAATATTCGCTGCTGATTATACTACAGAATATCCGGAGCCCGAAAAATGGTATTCGGGACAGCCCTAATATTTATATAACTCATATAATACTCTTTGTCTTCCCAGGTGACCCCGGTCTTTGTCAACCAGCAGAACGCCTCTCAGGTCCAAACGCAGGCCATCTCTCTGGACCTGCTGAAGGCTAACGGCTCACCCACGCTGGTTACCGACAGCAACGGAAACCACTACCTGATCGCTCTGACCAACCACAGTGCAGAGGGGCAGAACGGAGAGTCCTCATTGGCCAAACCCAACAGTCGCATCACACTGCAGGTACGGGGGAAACTTAATATTGTTGAATGGACTGAACGTGGTTAATAATCAGCGATGAGATATTCATTTCTCTGCTTGTTGTTACAGAGGTTACAGTCGACTCCGACTAAACTGCCCAGCGCTGACAGCCAATCAAAAGAGCCGCCAGAGGCCGAGCCAATCAAAAAGGTGCGTCATAAATATTTGTTTTGCTTTTTTATGGAACTTTTCCCGCCTTTATTTGAAAGGGAGAAGCTGGAAATGAAATGCTTTTTTTGTATTTTACAAATGTGTCCCTCCTTTCTTTTGCAAGATCATTTACTTTATTTTATTAGTTTTATTATTTCTTTATTCATTCTGCGTCTTCTGCAAAGTAACCTATTCTTTTGTTTGAATGTATTATATAATATTATAATAGACACTGCTGCATACGCTTCAGGCTTGAGAACACACGAGCTGCCTTTATCTCAGGAAATCATTTTGTCTCACTCCCAGAAAGCGTTTATACGATCGTCAGCTTTCTTTTCACCACATTTTTAAGTCTCCTTGATAATATCTACCAAATAATTGTAATGTAAGACAAAGGGACAGTTTCATCCCACAGGCCATAAGACCGTTAAACACCTGAACTAGAAAGAACATCCACAACATTCATCTGCAACTCATATATCAATATTGCAATTACTTGTACATAGACTATTCTGCACTATTTCTATTATATTCTATTTTATTTGTATTTACTTGCACTATTTTATTTTATCAGTTGTATTGTGTTGCTCTGTTGGAGGAGCCTGAGACCTAAGATCTACTGTAGCTATGCACACATGACAATAAAAGCCTTGAACCTTGAGATGTGCTTAAGGACTGTTGAATCTAATGAGCAGTACATCTTCCTGCCACAAGGTGTCGCCACCAACACAGTTACAAATCATTTCTGTGAACCAGCAGCAACGAGCCAATCACAATTTATATTCAACATATAATAATAAACCTGTCTGTATCCACTTCAGGTGCAGAAGGCGGGGCTTCACCTGGACACCAACGTCTCCCCTCAGCCCAGCCTGTCCGCCCCCCCCAGCCTGCAGCCGTTCTTCGACGACATGTCGGACTCAGAAAGCCAAAGCAGTTTGATCTCCTCTCTGAAGGTAAACTCTTCCTCCTCCTCATCCTCCTCAGGAAAGTAGTGGAGTACAAATACTTTGTTACTGTACTTAAGTACATTTTTCTGGTATCAGTACTTTATTCAACTACTTATTTTTCTGACGTCTTTTTACTTTCTACTTCTTACATGTTGAACCCAAATACCTGTACTTTCTACTCTACTTCTTACATGTTGAACACAATACCTGTACTTTCTACTTCTTACATGTTGAAGCTCAAATCCTGTACTTTCTACTTCTTACATGTTGAACCCAATACCTGTACTTTCTTTCTACTTCTTTACATGTTGAACACAAATACCTGTACTTTCTACTTCTTACATGTTGAACACAAATACCTGTACTTTCTACTTCTTACATGTTGAACCCAAATACCTGTACTTTCTACTTCTTACATGTTGAACCCAAATACCTGTACTTCTACTTCTTACATGTTGAACCCAAATACCTGTACTTTCTACTTCTTACATGTTGAACCCAAATATCTGTACTTTCTACTTCTTACATGTTGAACACAAATACCTGTACTTTCTACTTCTTACATGTTGAACCCAAATACCTGTACTTTCTACTTCTTACATGTTGAACACAAATACCTGTACTTTCTACTTCTCTACATGTTGAACACAAATACCTGTACTTTCTACTTCTTACATGTTGAACCCAAATACCTGTACTTTCTACTTCTTACATGTTGAACCCAAATACCTGTACTTTCTACTTCTTACATGTTTGAACACCAAATACCTGTACTTTCTACTTCTTACATGTTGAACTCAAATACCTGTACTTTCTACTTCTTACATGTTTGAACCCAAATACCTGTACTTTCTACTTCTTACATGTTGAACCCAAATACCTGTACTTTCTACTTCTTACATGTTGAACCCAAATACCTGTACTTTCTACTTCTTACATGTTGAACACAAATACCTGTACTTTCTACTTCTTACATGTTGAACCCAAATACCTGTACTTTCTACTTCTTACATGTTGAACAGCAAATACCTGTACTTTCTACTTCTTACATGTTGAACACAAATACCTGTACTTTCTACTTCTTACATGTTGAACTAAAATACCTGTACTTTCTACTTCTTACATGTTGAACTCAAATACTTGTACTTTCTACTTCTCTCATTTTCCCAAACAGCTGGTTCCTTTAGTCTGAATGTGTGTTTGATGCGTGATCATTATTCTTTAGAGTCATTGCGTGCCTATTGGTTTGAACACGATCCGTGTATCCATCATTTCCTGGTCTTCTCTAAAGAAGAGGGACCAATGGAAACGTTGTCATGTTGCCGTTGTTCAGCATGGAAACATTCATTAGCTAACAATGACATTATTGTTCTATTAATATAAAGGGAGGTCAGGTACTCTTTAAAGCAGCTGCTAGTTATGGGTACTTTTTACTGAAGTACATTTCAAAGCCTCTTTACTTTGACTTGAGTAAAGAAGTTTAGTCAGTACTTCTACTTTCACCAGAGTGTTTTAAACATGACTATCTGTACTTCTACTTGAGTAAAGGGTGTGTGTACTTTTGCCATCTCTATTCCTCAGATACTCTCCTCCATCTTCTCCACCTGTTGTTTCACCTCATTAACTTTTCTCCTTGTTTCTTCTCTTCTTCCTCTCCTCCCCCCTCAGAGAGAGGAGGTGTGTTACGACCGACACACCCTCTTCACCCCCCCCCTCCCCCAAACACAACTCCTCCCTCTCTTCCAAGCGCTCCAAAGTACGTCCTCTTTCCTCCGTCTGTCCTTTAGTGTCGTCCTGTTTCTGTCTCTGCCTCCATGTTCCCTCTCACTCTGAGCTCTGTGCTTACTGAACTGAAGGAAGTTGGAAGATTTTTTATTTTGTGTCGCTGTTGTTGCTCATTAAAAGTGACAGAAATGTTTTTAATTATTAATATTATTGTCTTTACCGAGTTAAATCCCTTCTACCTACCTGATACCTGAACTACAAATATTCATTCATTTTAAGGCGTCACTTGTGTTTTATGAAAACAAAAACACAATAACGTTTATATTTTCTTTATACTTCCTTATAGAGAGGCGAAGTCCCGCCCGTCTACTTCCGACCCATGGGACCTTATTTCGGAAACATTATGTATTGAAGTCAATGGAGAGAGAAAGATTATCTCTCGATCCCGTTTGAATTGTGCCACGAATTACACATATGATGTTTGTCAATCTTAACAAATCATTTCCATGTCAAAAAAGTCACAGTTTGTCGTAAAACTGTTGAAATATAAGACTATGAAAAATACGCAACTAGAAAGACTACAAATCCCAGAGTCCCGGTCCCGCATGCTGGCTCTTAGGAACCGACTAACTCCCCTTGTGTGTATGCACAGCTCTCAACGTGCCCAGACTTGGAGTGATTTTCCCCTCGTTTAATACTTTTCGCCTCATTCTGAAAGAAAGGAGTGAAATGTTCCAACGTGACGGCCGTCTTGGTGTGTGGTGCGAGACGGGAGATGTAGTTCATTGAGCGGTTTCACACACAACAAGTGTTACTTCACAGTTTTACGACACCTTTTGATTTTTTTAACTTGCAAAATTATCTTTTAAATTGACAAACATCATATGTGTAATTCGTGGCACAATTCAAACGGGATTGAAAGATAATCTTTTTCTCTCCATTGACTTCAATACATATTTTTTCCGAAATAAGGTCCCATGGAGGAAAGGGAGGGACTTTGCCTCTCTATTGTTCGATATGTCAATGATAAACAACAACAATCTGGTTGAAGGAAGACAATAAAACTACAATTTTGAAGTAAAATCTACAGATTTAAAGCTGGTTATTGTAGTTTAATAAACACCCTGTAATGTCTTTGGTATTTCAGGAAATAAAAAAAATAAAAAAATGAACCGATAGTTAAACTTCCAATATCATGTATTACATTAGCAGTGGTTGATGTGTGATTGGTGACTGATGGAAACGGTTGTGTTTCAGCAGGAGAACGGCGTCAACAGTCAGCAGATGGACGACCTGTTTGACATCCTGCTGAAGAGCGGAGGTAAAAAACTTTATTTAAACACAAACGACAAATAAACACACTTGATGAGTCTCCTGTTCTGACATCATTTCTCTGTCCTCGTCAGAAATCCCCGGCTTCAAAGGGCACCCGGACCCCTCCCTCGCCCCTCTCCACTCGGACCCTCCCTCTCCAGCCTCTCCTCCGTCTCCCCTGCTCCTCCACCTGTCCCCCCCGACCCCTCCCTCTCCCCTCGCCTCCCCCCCCTCCAGCGCGCGTCTGGAGGACTTCCTGGAGAGCTCGACGGGGAACCCCCTGCTGGGCGTTGAACCTGATGGAGGTCTCACTCTGATCCACGACCTCCACAGCCAGATGCTCAGCACTTCCAGCATTTTGGACCCTCACGCCCCCTCCCCCATGGACACCTCAGATCTGGGCTTCTCCCCACACCCTGCTGGGCTGGATTTCGACAGCATGGACTGGCTGGACATCTCCATGGTGAGAGGAGGGAGTGGAGGAGGCAGTAATGGAGGAGAGGAGACCCGTTTAGCTCCTCTGGTGCCTCACACCCCCCCGAGCGTTTTCTCCACCGACTTCCTGGACGGATCGGACCTGCAGCTGCACTGGGAGTCGTGTCTGTAGCCTCCTCCATCTTTATTTTTCGTGCACAAACAGAAACATTTCTTATGCTGTCTCTACCACTGCGAGGGGGCACTGACACATGTAGCGTGATAAGGGAGGGGGGGGGGGGATCTACGGTGGGAAACGCACTTTCGAAAACGATGCATATGTAAAAAGAGAAATGGGACAAAACATGCGAGTGTTTCGGCGCATTTGTGTTTTTATATTTGCGTCGTTTTGGGCCGTTGGAGCGCGTTTGCACCAGCTTGAGGAAGGGGAAATCTACGGTGGCTCACAGGGGGCAAACGCACTATTGAAAACGATGCAAATATAAAACGGGATCCGGTTTAAATCCACTGCTTTATAACCAGGTCACTGTAATGCAACATGCGAAACATTTCACTGGTTTAACGAGAGGAGTGTGTGTGTGTGTGTGTGTGTGTCAGTGCCTCCTAAACTTTGCACTTATGCTGAATCTGATTGGTTTGTAAAAAAAAGTGTGTTCAAACTGATCTCTGCCCACACTAGTGGGGAAAAAACGCGGTCATTATTTGACTTTTTGAGAGGAAACCATATCGGTGGCACCAGTGTATTATTGGTAACATTGTGGTAGACCACTATGTATTGCTGTATATGGGGTGTATATTATCAATTGTCCATACGACTTATTTTTTCTGTGCTGGTTGCTTTAGAGTCGAGCTCGCCGGCTGGGGATCATAGGCTGAGGGCGGGGCTCCGAAACACTTGGACCTTGTCATTTTTTTAAAGAAAAACTGTAAAAAAAGAAATAAACATATTATGAAAAACTCACAGGATGCGTCTGTTTTTCATTTGTCACAATTAAAGGTATTATAGTTATACTTATAGCAGTGAAAAATGTTGCCGTAAAATAAAAATAATAACCATTTTTCAGAAAACAATGAAACTCAACAAACAATTTGTTGTTAAAAAACGAATAATAATTAAATAAAATGTAACGTTAATTTATCTCAGTTTTAGTTTTTTAGCTGTAATATATGTCTCCAAAAATAAGGAGAAAATTAATTTGAGAAATGCAGGAATTTCTTCATAATTGATAAAAAAATGTAACACGCAGAAGTCCAGACATAGCAAAACTAAATCTTAAAAAAATAAGAAATAATGATAAAAATCCACTAAATATTATGTGGAAGCTGGAAAGGAAATGGAAAAAGTCTTAATAAATAAAGTTATTAAAACATATAATTGAAAATTCAACACAACAGAAATGGGGCGAAGCCTGCGAGCTAGTTCAGGCAGTCAACTCGAGCACCAATGATACATTAACACGTGACGCACCTCGTCCCTCTTACAACCAACCACACACATTCTCCTAAACATGCCGCTCTATTTGAGCTGCCAGGTCTTCCTGCTGTGCTGCTGCTGTGTTTCATGTTGCTGCTGCTTGCCTGCCCCCCCACCACCCCAGCTTCCATCCCAGCTTCCATCCCAGCTTCCGCCCCAGCTTCCGCCCCAGCTTCCACCCCAGCTTCCGTCCCAGCTTCCGCCGCAGCTTCCATCCCAGCTTTCACCCCAGCTTCCGCCCCAGCTTCCGCCCCAGCTTTCGCCCCAGCTTCCGCCCCAGCTTCCGCCCCAGCTTCCATCTCAGCTTCCGCCCCAGCTTCCGTCCCAGCTTCCGTCCCAGCTTCCACCCAGCTTCCGTCCCAGTTTCCACCCCAGCTTCCGTCCCAGCTTCCACCCCAGCTTCCACCCCAGTTTCCGTCCCAGCTTCCATCCCAGCTTCCACCCCAGCTTCCGTCCCAGTTTCCACCCCAGCTTCCACCCCAGCTTCCCACCAGCTTCCGCCCCAGCTTCCGCCCCAGCTTCCGTCCCAGCTTCCGTCCCAGCTTCCGTCCCAGCTTCCGTCCCAGCTTCCGTCCCAGCTTCCACCCAGCTTCCGTCCCAGCTTCCGTCCCAGCTTCCGTCCCAGCTTCCGTCCCAGCTTCCGTCCCAGCTTCCGTCCCAGCTTCCAGCCAGCTTCCGTCCCAGCTTCCATCCCAGCTTCCACCTAGCTTCCGTCCCAGCTTCCGCCCCAGCTTCCACCCCAGCTTCCACCCCAGCTTCCGTCCCAGCTTCCGTCCCAGCTTCCGTCCCAGCTTCCGTCCCAGCTTCCGTCCCAGCTTCCGCCCCAGCTTCCGCCCCAGCTTCCACCCAGCTTCCGCCCCAGCTTCCACCCAGCTTCCACCCCAGCTTCCGTCCCAGTTTCCACCCCAGCTTCCGCCCCAGCTTCCCACCAGCTTCCGCCCCAGCTTCCACCCCAGCTTCCGTCCCAGCTTCCGTCCCAGCTTCCGTCCCAGCTTCCATCCCAGCTTCCACCCAGCTTCCGCCCCAGCTTCCGCCCCAGCTTCCGCCCCAGCTTCCGTCCCAGCTTCCATCCCAGCTTCCATCCCAGCTTCCACCCAGCTTCCGTCCCAGCTTCCACCCCAGTTTCCACCCAGCTTCCGCCCCAGCTTCCGTCCCAGCTTCCACCCCAGCTTCCATCCTAGCTTCTGCCCCAGCTTCCATCCCAGCTTCCGCCCCAGCTTCCATCCCAGCTTCCGCCCCAGCTTCCGCCCCAGCTTCCGCCCCAGCTTCCACCCCAGCTTCCGTCCCAGCTTCCGCCCCAGCTTCCATCCCAGCTTCCACCCCAGCTTCCATCCTAGCTTCCGCCCCAGCTTCCACCCCAGCTTCCATCCCAGCTTCCGCCCCAGCTTCCGTCCCAGCTTCCGTCCCAGCTTCCGCCCCAGCTTCCGCCCCAGCTTCCGCCCCAGCTTCCGCCCCAGCTTCCGCCCCAGCTTCCGCCCCAGCTTCCGTCCCAGCTTCCATCCCAGCTTCCGCCCCAGCTTCCACCCCAGCTTCCGCCCCAGCTTCCATCCCAGCTTCCATCCTAGCTTCCGCCCCAGCTTCCGCCCCAGCTTCCATCTCAGCTTTCACCCCAGCTTCCACCCCAGCTTCCACCCAGCTTCCGTCCCAGCTTCCACCCCAGTTTCCGTCCCAGCTTCCGCCCCAGCTTCCGCCCCAGCTTCCGTCCCAGCTTCCGTCTCAGCTTCCGTCCCAGCTTCCGCCCCAGCTTCCACCCAGCTTCCACCCAGCTTCCACCCCAGCTTCCATCCCAGTTTCCACCCCAGCTTCCGCCCCAGCTTCCCACCTGCTTCCGCCCCAGCTTCCACCCCAGCTTCCATCCCAGCTTCCATCCCAGCTTCCACCCCAGCTTCCACCCAGCTTCCGTCCCAGCTTCCGTCCCAGCTTCCGTCCCAGCTTCCGTCCCAGCTTCCGTCCCAGCTTCCGTCCCAGCTTCCGTCCCAGCTTCCACCCCAGCTTCCACCCCAGCTTCCGTCCCGATGAGGCCCGAGCCTAGACGCCAAACTCAAAAAATACACACATTAAGAAACACGTGAGTTGTCTGACTGAATTATAACTTTGGTTACAACAGATTAAAAAAAAACAAGATAATATAAATTAAATATTTAATACACATTTAATACTCCTATGTCTCTTTTGAAATGTGTTCACAAGGAGCTGTTCATGCTACCTCTAATCACCCTGATGTATTACTTTATTATTAAGTACTAGCTGTTATTAAATCATTAGTCATCTGCTTTATGGTTTAATTGACTCCTTGTAATTAACAGAACGGCCACAAGAGGTTGTAAAGAAGTCTGCTGTTAGATACCAACAGGTGGAGAGGGGTTTAAGCCAATGTATGCACAAAGAAAACATTCAGATCTGTAGGGACTGTACAGCAATTATTGTCATAGGGATGGATGGGAGCTGAATTATGTATTTTAAGCAACACTCTCCAGCATTTTCTATATTTGATTTGGGACTTCTTCTCTTGTTAAGAATATAAATGTAGACCAGAAAAGGTACTCTCCACATCCTTCAACTATAACTTTAACCCCCAAATCCTCCTCCTTATGGGTTATCTATCATCTGTGCTCATTTCCTTATTTACTTTTAAGAATAAAGTACATTTTGAAAGTGAACATATGAAGTAGCAGCCAGTGATAACAGTCATACATCAACAGTGGTGTTAGATAGAAGTATTAAAATAGCCTCTTTACTGCCTGTGTTAGTGTATCATGATGCTTTTTATGTATAAAAGTCTATTCTTTGGGACAAATCACATCCTTTTTTAACCCATTCACGATCAAAAAGTTGCACAAAACCCAACCTGAGCATGTTATTCCACCTCATTATGCCTGTGTGTCCTCTTTGTGTTGCATGATGGGAGAGGAGCAGTTCATCTGCATCCTGCTGAGGAAGAGGAGCCTTTGATAGCAGGAGATGTGAAGGCTGACATTTACAGAGGAAGGGGGGGGGGCGCTGAGAGAGGGTTTTGTTCTCCACCTGTTTGTTTGAAAGACAAGAGAGGACGTGAGAATAAAGACGGAGTCGCTTTGATCCTCGCTTTTGTCGCTCAGAGTCATTACAGTCTGCTGTGAGGAGGTGTGACGGTTAAGGGAAACTATAGACACCTTTAAAATGTAAACGTGCCTCCGGATGATCACCTCCGGTAACGAGACGACACTCAGATCAGTTCTGCCTTTCTTTGGAGAAGATTCAATGTATCTGGGAGCTTATTAAGTATTTTATGATAAATAAGGAAGCATTAAACAGCACGAAAAAACTACCTTAATATTTTTTTGATTATCATTTTTATCGTATTTCTTTGTTTTTTCATTATAATTTTTTTTTTCATTGTATTTGTTCATTTTAATTTTAAATATTGTATTTATTATTTTATTTATTTATTATATTTATTATCTCTATTACATTGCTAATGGATTTGTATAGCTGTATTGAATTTATTACCATTATTATTTGTATTTTCTTTAGGTTTATGAATCGTGCCATTCTGCGTGCTATCTCTCAAAATCCGTCCTTTAACCCTTGTGCTGTGTTCGAAAGCTGTTTCATGGTGTTCGCGGGTCAATTTTGATTTATCTCAGTCCAAAACACTCAAAAATAATTACTATCATCTCATTTTGTTTTAACTACATCATAACTAACTTATTATGCATTCATAATCGTACAATCCTGTTGTAATGTAATGTTATGGCCCAAAACACATTACACCACAAATTGCACACGTGTATGTGTGAGTTCAGGTTCAAGTGTTACATGTTCTTTGAGAAAGGTGGGGTTCCCGTGGGGGGGGGTGGGGGGGGGGGGGTTAGGGGCAGAGGGAGGGGAGACCTGGGTTGCGTTCCAAAATTAAAATTGTGTATAATAAGAAGGAGGGACTAAACTCATCCAGAGACTTTATGAACGTGGACAACAGAGAAACATATTCTTCATGACCAAAGTTGGAATTGGGTCCTACGTTGTGGACCAACGTAGTTATTACACGTTTTGTTATGAGACTGGGTTGCTCACACACACACACACACACACACACACACACAACACACAACACACACACACACACACACACACACACACACACACACACACACACACACACACACACACACACACACACACACACACACACACACACACACACACACACACACACACAGTGGAGTCATTGTTGTTACTGTTTGCTTCCCCTGTCTTCTAAAGCGCCCCTTTTTGTGCTTTTTTCGAATCTGAAAACCTAAAAAGAGGATTAGCAGACCGAGTATTCTCACAGTATTGGTTTCTCTAAGGGCCTGTGCACTCAAAGCTATTTTTTCAATTGTTTCAATGAGAAAATAGTGCATGCTGTACAATGCTGCTACTCGGAGAAAAAGCACTTTTCATCCGAGCGCTTCTCAGTTTTTGTGTGGCTTCTCTAATCGCTTCTTGTTGAAATCATATCAACTTAT